TGCACAAACCCGTTTGTGCCAGGGTCCCACCACCTGCTGTCACCAGGTGTCTCCCCTTGACCTTCACGGGAGCTTTGTCCCGTGTCTGCAGGAGACCCAGCTCTCCCACTTCCCAAAATGACATTAAAACCGTGTCCGAGCTCAGCAGCAGCACCCGGCAGCCTCCGTCCGTGCCCGGGTGCCGGTGCTGCGGTACGTGGTGGACGTGGATGTCTGCGTTGCCATGGTGAACGGGGAGGATGCGCGCTCGCACGTAGAGCTGCGGCACCGGGCGCAGCACATGCAGGGGGTATCTGTCCCCCACCCCAGCTCGACCCCGCAGAGCATCTGCCTTCAGCAGCACGTGGGGAGTTAATGAACCTTCAGCCGCCAGTGCCAGTCACGGTGTTCCATGCTGGGCAGGGCTGGGAAGGCACACTGCCCGCTCCCTGGAGCCCAGTTTCTCCTGAGAAACCCCCTGAGCATCTGTGGTGGCTTCTGTGAGCTCTCGCTTCCCCATCCTTAAGCAATCCCTGCCTTGGGGATAAAGCCCCCTGGGGTGGGAGCAGCTCTCTGCTGCTCCAGGGTGGAGGGTCTGGGCTCGCAGGGAGAGGGAGGACGGTGTCTGAGCTGGCACACAAACCCGGGAATGCCCGTCATGCAGGAGGAGGTTGTTTATTCCCTCTTCTCCTGTGCCGGTCTCTGCCAAGCACGGATCTCTCCTGGGGGAGCTGGTGGACGCTCCCTGCACACCAACCCCCAGGACAGCAAGGCTGGGGAAGGCTTCCCGCTTGGGAACAGACCTGCCTGGAAGATTTTTTTCCTCCATGGGGGTCTGAGCTGGCAGGAGACACGCATGGCATCCCCACCATGGAGCAGGGCTGGGGTCTTTGTTACAGAAAGCACCGGTGTTTTCTGCAAGAATCCATGGAGGTTCGGGGGCATTAAATAACAGAGCAGAGGGATGAAACCAGCCCGTGTCCCTCTGCTCGGCCCCTTTCACCCTCTCCCAGCCACGGGAGCCATTTTCAGCAGCTTCCCCATGGGCATCTGGCTGCCAGCCTGGGCTTGCAGTGACCCACTTAGCAACAACACAGCAGCAGCCAGCAGACCCCCCCTCCCTGAACGCCGGGCGCAGCCGGCAGCGTCTCGCTCCCAAGGGTGCAGCTGGGCAGCAAAGGGGGCTGCCCACCCCAGCAGCCCTCACCGGGGTGCCAGCGCATCTGCCACACAGAGATACCCCAACCCACCCTCGGTGGGAGGGTGCTGGACAGGGGGAGACCCTCCTGGCAGTGGAGCCGTGCAAAG